TGCTGTCACAATTTTACGTTCATTTTAGGATGTAAGTGTCCACGTTTGGCACTGATAGCATAGTGTTGGCCAAAAAATAGTTCTGATAAGATTCACTTTAGTTCACCGGGGTATCAGCTTGTTTAACGAATTAAGTAAGGCAATGAAACCCCAGGGGTCCTACGTTCACTGTATGAGAAGCACTGCTTGATGACACAAACCGACGCAACACAGAGAAAGAATGCGGTACAATTACACATTTTTCTGTGGGTTTTTTCTCCCCCGTTCACCTCTGACCAGGTAAACATTGTGAGAGTGACACGGATTTGGTATGCAGCCAGTCACTGATACAAGCATAACAAGAACATCGTTGTTACACATGCACACGTCACGTTTGTTTGATTGATTCAACTACCGTTTACCTAGAGCAGCGGTTCTCAAACTGTTTCCTTCATCGCATTTAAGGAAAACTGAACGCAAATATGCACTGTTTTTTTCCCCTACTCTTCCTAAGAATTCAAACCGATTTAAGGGTAGCCGTGCAGCGAAAAAAAAAATTTAGCTCGGCGTGGGTGCCGCAACAAAAAAAAAAGTTTTAGAACCGCTCGCCTACAGATAGTCCCATGTGCAACGCTGCGGCTGCAGTGATGTCAGAAATGGGCGACTGCTACCCTGAGAGGGGTTGGGTTGATCCCGGGGGCAGGCAGTAGCCGTGAATGCAATTGTGGAGCGTGAGGTTGGGGGGAAAAAGGGGGAGGGGTGGGGCTTTTGCAAGTTTTTACGGACCAGCACCGAAATAATAATTGAAGAAAATGCATTCAGATAACCTAATCCGTATATCCCTTAACAAACTACAAACATTAAATAACTAGATTCTGTGCAGAAAAGATGGAGTTTAATGATAAGATCGAATCATCAATTTTGAGCTTGGAGTGAGAACTAAACAAGTTCCAAAAGGCGAAGAAAAGACTTTGGCGCTGTATAGGACACACGTTCATACTATCTGATAACAAGTTAACTAGAATGCTTTTGCACCAGAAACAACAGGGGCATAGAAATAAAAGTAAGGTAAAGGTCCCCTTTCGACGCCTTTAGGCGTATAGGGCATACAGGGCTAGACTTTTTTTTATTGACCAAACGGCACAAGATGGGTGATGTGGTCAGTATCACGCTGGCCGCCTTTACTTCCCGGGACTGCACTCTGTACCCACTCAAGGTTGGGTCGACCTGGAAGCCAAGGTCATTTTTGAAAAAAATCTGGCTCCCTCAGATAGCGAACCTGCGAACTTCCGCCACGGCGACTCCTGGCATAGAAATAAAGATAGACCAAAATACACTTGGAAAGACGAGCTAGTGATTGAAGTTAAAAAGGCAGGGAGAACATGCGGTAAGCTGCATACAAAAGCAAAAGATTGAGCAACTTGGCGTGAGATTGTTAGGGCCTATGCTCCGTGGAGGGATTAAATGTAGAAGAAGAGATCCGAATAGGGTTGGTGGTAATAATGTTTTTACCATCGTCATCATCAGGTGCCTTGCCGACTGGCGTGGGCGATCATGCCCCTCCATAATCTGCGATCTCCTGCAGCATGTATCAGTTCGTAATGTTTGTATATGCAACCATATTTATATATGCATATACAAGTGCTAGCTTTTTTATAGCGACATCTGCTATTAGACATTAGACACTGTGATATACATGTCTGGAGCGTTGTTTCTGAGAAACAAAGCGCTACACTAACATTCATTCTGCGGACCAGCATCTACTGGTTGAAGAACATGGACATAGATAACAAAACACACATATGCCCCTGAAATAATCCCCCCCCCCCCCCCCACAAGAAACGGCAGTATTCTCTTGCCCCAGTTCTTATCTGTAAATCGTTCACGGATATAAGTTTCCTTTGTGTATATTACAATAAAGTTCGGTGTTCAAGTTTGCATTTGCCAATTATAGCTTTTACATTATGTTTTAGGCGATTTGCTTTGACATTTACACCAGTAGTATTGTAAAACATTTAACACGCGCTCCTTACACATTGTTACATAAGTAAAGTAAAGATCCCTTTTCACGCCTTAGGCGCATCCCATATTTTTACAGACCAATCAATGGGTAATATGGTCAGCACTACGCCAGCCGTCTTTACTTTTCCAGGACAGCCGTCCGGGAACCTATTTTATGCTGTGTCGACCTGCGACGCCCCATACCATAAAAATCCACGCAGCCAGCAGTGGGTTTCGATCGCGATACGTTAGAATTACGAGTCAGACTCGCAACGCCTAAACCACGGAAGACGCTACATTGTTACATGCAGCAATTAAATTTAAAAACAAAACTGCCATTACTGTAAATGTTCTAGTTTTACAGCGATGTAGGACACAGAGGTGAGCCTGAGATTTTAGATCTTCATGGCTAGTGCAGTCGCCCTCCAGACTGTTTAGGTTGGGATTATACTCTCTTATCGTATATTTTATTGTATGTTGTCACAAGTCATTCTCTCTAATTGTGCAAACCATCTAATTGGCTGTCTTTGTATGTAATTTAAAACTGTTTCTGTGCCGATGCTTTCTCTTTTGACGTCATTTTTGAGCAGATCTATTCTGGTCTCTCATTCCGGCCTTTCCATATATATAATTTCTGTGTTTACTAATTTTCGGTTACGTTCGCGTATCCAGGCCCATCTACACACTACCTGACCATCCATTCATACTTTCACAGACTCTTCTACTTCGGAGTGGTGTCATGTTGGCTTCTCTCCAATTACATCAGCGCCAATGTCGCGTGTTCTATACTACACGACGACAGATTTCATTGACCCCAGAAATGTAGAACTGACCCTAACCCAAACCCTCCTACCCAAAGCCTAAAGATAGGTCACATGAGAGACTTTTCGAAAAAAAAGCAGTACAAAGTGACACCCCTCTGACCTAGATCAGACTGAGACAGTGTGTAGATGTGTCTGGAAACGTGAACAGGTCCTAATTTTCCATTCACTTCTGACTGGTTATGACTCTGTAGGGCAATGGTAACATTGAGTAAAAATGAATATGATTTATTTCATCTATTTCTTTATGCTGATCATAAATGCTTTATGCTTTAAAAAGGTGCCCAGCTGTCGTGTTAATTGGTATTTTTGCGATGAAAATATATATTTGTGGTTCGGAAGAAACTGGTGGCAAGCAGCCTGATTTATATCGTGTACTTGTAGTCAGCCAAACGAGAAATAATTCATTTGACCTTTCTTTTATTTTCCTGTCAAACTTGTTGCCAAACAAGTGATGCGTGACTTGAACCCTAGCTTATTGTAATAAATCGTGCAGTTCTAGTCTTTAGCGATTGCAAATAAAGCGATGTGGATGGGTTACCACCAAAAGCCCCCCCCCCCTTTCCAACCGCTCCCGCTGAAATAAGGTCATAGTTCACATCCTTGTTTGCTTCGCTCAGTATTAAATTCCTAACCGTAGCTATCTCTAACGGTTTTAAGCCCTTCCCTGTTTGGACAGGTTTTACTAGAGAAGAGTGTGATCCAGAGAGTCCCAAACCGATTGGACAATTGCCCCATGTTTACAGCTTTCGTTAACACACGATGTTTAGCATCATTTACCCTCTAAAGCAGGGGCAGCGGTATGTATTGCATGCGAAAAGGTAAACAAGAGAAATGAAAAATTACGATTTTTTAATAATATCCTACCCCCAGATGACATAACTGGACAATGCAAATTTTAGAGGCTGAAAAGACTGGGTTTTCCGGCTTTCTGATGCTTTTAACGACCCCAAAACATTTAGAACTGGCCCTTACCCCAACCCACCTATGTCCAACTAGAGAGTGCAGCCTAAGTCCCAGGAATGCATACAGCCTAGGTCCCACGACTGCATGCAGCCTGTCTACGACTCCCTGAAATATTAGACTGTCCCGTGACCTGCTGATTTCCCCTGTTTGGGGTGGGATATTGATAAAACACCAAAATTACAAAGGACTAACAAGAAAAGATAGGATCAAAAAGCAATGAAATCCGAAAGAAAATAGGGGTAGTTGCAGCTCTTGATTTTTATTAGAAAACAACTAGTGAAATGGTTTGGTCATGTAGCGTGGATACCAATAACCAGTATACCACAGCAAGCCAATGATGTATATACCAGGCGGGAGGCGAAGGACGTTTCCATCTTTCCACACTACAGATTTCAAGTAGGCTACAAGGAATGTTGAATGTTGTTGGATGTTGAATTGACATCAAAGGACTCAGGACACCCCCATAAGCGCTCCGTCCCCATCTTTAGTAGCAAGCGTAAGCTACAAGGATGCACGCGATACACAGCATATGGCGATGCCAACAGGGTTACGGATCCAGTTCCTCTCCACACACAAAACCTAGGCAGTATTTATGATATGGATCAGGTTTTGTCTACGCAAAATGATCGCTCGCTACCTTGTTTACTCCAAAGAAAATGTAACATCAGTAGGTTTAGAACAAACCAGCTGCAGAAGCTGACGGATCAGAAGAGGGATGCTCTGTCAGTATGTCAGAGCTTCCCTCTGAGACCAGCTGCTAAGCAAGGCCAAGACAATGGTCTGCCCTGCAAGGCTTTCAAAACAATGTAAACTTTATGACGAAAAAAAGTTACGAATATCATTTGGACTTCTAGTAATTACACTGGTCTCTGGGTAGTAAAATCAGACGCAATTGTGTGCATTGCTGAGCATGTTAAAAAAAATCCCTTGGCAGTTGGAAATCGAAAAGAGCAGCCTAACGGCGATGCCCGGGCAAAATTTTAAGTAAAAAATATACCCTAAGTATTTCTAAATTCTCGATGGAACTACAGAGCCTGGGCACTGTGCTGAGCTTATTCGGACTCAAACTTGAGTTAGAAGAAGAACGGAGCACTCATGGTTTACTACCTGTGTGCCATGATGCTGATTCGTTGTTCAAACCTCAAACTTCAAACTCAAACAAAGAACAGCTGACGTAAGATAACAAACATAGAACAAAACATTGCAAGCTGGAGTCAACAGAAATCTACTCACTTGGTGCCGTGTGTGCCATTTTCTTGAGCCTGCACATTTTCTGCCATTTTCAGTTATCTCCGTTATGTTGAACTGACGTTTTCTGTACAAGAACAAATTTCGGATGATGGGCTCAACGAGTATCCAGTCCGGGTACCAAGAGAAACGAAAGTCTGAACTTAAGAATGGACCTTAGCCTCGCAGTTTGTGTCCAGTTTATGTTTGGTTGTGGCTAAAACGAATGTTAGATTTGGCAGACGGTACAGTCAGGTTAAGTACATTCCAAGTATCAGAGCGGATTCCGAAGTTCTAACTGAATAAAGAAACGCAAATAAAGGAATCAAATATAAGAGATCTTTAACAACTAACGATATCATGAAGACTATTCTTTGGCTACTGAGGATTGGGACAGAGCAGGCAGGTGAATGGTCTAGGTCCAATTTTGTCAATTAATTATTTTACTTTTTCATTTATCCATTCGCCCGTGTGTATTCTTGCGTATGTAAAAAATCCTTTAGCAGTTGGAAATCGAAAAAAAAAGTAGCCTAACGACGCTGCCCGGACAAAATTTTGAGTTGAGAATCTACCCAAAGTATTTCAGAATCCTCGCCGGTGCTACAGAGCCTGTGCACTGGGCTGAGCCTTTTCGGACTCAGACTTGAGTTAAAAGAAGAACAGAGCAGTAATAAGTAACTAGCCGTGTGCCTTGGTGTTGATCCGTTGTTCAAAACCTCAAAACCTCAAAAAAAGGGTGGTGACAGGTTTTGACAATGGCCTTCACAGGCTAGGGGATATCCCTTCCTAAAACGTAAACAACTAAAGATCCCGGTGAGTGATGTGGTTAACATCATGCTTGCCGCTTGTACTTCCCCGGACATTTTCTGGTGCCCATTGATGGCTTAGTTGATGTAGAAGCCAAGGTAGGTTCTTAGAGAAATCCTCTATGCGGATTTGAACTCTAGAAGACCTTTGTGTGGTCATGGAGTGTTTACCCACTAGATAACCATCCCTTCCCATTTACAGTGATTCTGTGCGGTTTCATTCCCCCCCCCCCCACCCCATCTGTGTGTGTGTGTGTGTGCGCGCGCGCGCTCGTTTGTATGTAAATGTGCCCAAAGTTTTTTTTATTCGTTTTCTCTGTCTCTCTCTGTCTCTCTCTGTCTCTCTCTGTCTCTCTCTCTCTCTCTCTCTCTCTCTCTTTCTCTCTCTCTCTCTCTCTCTCTCTCTCTCTCTCTCTCTCTCCTCTGTCTCTCTAATTTGCATGACCGAATTTTAACTTTTTGAAAATAGTCCTCTATCCCCCCCCCCTCACTCTATCTACACACACACACTATATATATATATATATATATATATATATATATATATATATATATATATATATATATATATATATATATTCTTGAACGGCTCAAACGTTGAATATATAGCCCAAAGGTAGTTCGCAAACATAACTGACAGGTTTATTACAAAGATTAATCCACTCGACTTTACAACCCCTTGTTCTTTTCAGAATCTATCATTTTCATACAGCCGTGACATGAATATGATAATTTTTACATCCACTACAAGCATAGCACAAGCGCGCAAGCATGTTTCTTAGCTGTAAAGTAAGTAAAAGTAAAGGACCCTTTTCCACGCCCTTAGGCGTATAGGGCATATAGGGCTAGACGTTTATTTTATAGACCAATTGGCACAGGATGGGTGATGTCAGCATCACGCCGGCTGCCTTTACTTCCCGGTACTTAGCAGTAAAATGGTCAGCAAAAATGTGTAGGACACCAGGAGCCTCCTTTGGCTGTGGCGAAACGTCGCAAGCTAGTGTGGTTCGGACACGTGGTGAGTCAGGGTTCGATTGCCAAGACTATACTACAAAGAATGGAGGGAGCGGGGGGGGGGGTAGTTCGACAGTTAATTTAACGTTAGTCTCCCCAAAACCCCGCCCATAAACACACTAGCTCGCTTCTGATTGGTAGTTCCCGAGCCGCTTGACCTTCGCACAAGGTAACGGTGGTGTTCCGCAATGCCGTTGATGATGCATGTTGCAAATTTCAGCACGCCATCATTTTTAATACTCCAAAAGCATGGAGAAACTGGGTCTAACACAACCGCCCTAGAGAGTGCTGCAACCTACGTCACATGCATTCTCTTTCACAGAATGAGAACCTAAATTCAAAACATCGGAGAAACTAAGGAGAGCGGAACACACCCGTAACCTTAAGGAAAGTCGACCAGTCCAACAAATTTGTGAACAAAACGTCACCTACTTTGTTTGGGGAGGCTAACTTAAACCTAACTCAAAGAAGAATCAGCAATGATAACATCAATAAACAAACAGGGCTAAATTATTTTCCTATTGCTAAAACAGGTTGAAGTCAAAGAAAGATAGCTGTTTTTATACAAGCGCTTCCATCGATACACCTCCACGACCCTAACAGGTCAAGAGTTATGTTACGTTAATACGCTAGTTAGTTGGGTAATCGACCGCACATCCGTATCGCACATCAAATAAGTCCAAAAGCGCTCTGGTCCCTCCTGTATAGGTCCAATCCAGTGCGTCGTCTGAGCCTACCGTGGCCCTGCCAGCTAGCCAATCCGCACGTTCAATTCCTCGTACTCAAGAGTTTCCTGGCACAAAAGCTAATTCCAGTCAGAAAATATTTGCTCAGAGAAGAGAGCCAATGCCTTCCAGTCTGTCCTATCTGCATCGACATAAGCACGTCAATGGAATCACTTAGAAAGCATGCATGGGGGAATTCGTTAGACAGGTTATTGTTTTTGTGACCGCCTTCAGCACCAAGCGGCGTTCCTGGCTTTAGAATTGCGAGTCCGACTCGTAATTCCAAAGTACCACGATCGAAAATCCACTGTTGGCTGCGTGAATTGTTATCACGAATAGGGCGTCGCAGGTGGACCCAGACTAAAATGGGTACCAGTGTGTATGTCCTGTGGGAGTAAAGACGACCGGCGTAATGCTGACCACATTGCCCACCTACGGCCAATTGGTCTGTAAAAATATGGGTGCGCGTCCCATATTCCCGAAGCGCCCAAAGGCGTGAAGATGGATCAGGCTTACTGGCCTGACTTCACCACCAAAGTCTACTTCTTGCAGTCATTGAACAAGAACTGATAAATAGAAGAGTTATTCAATTAAGGAAAGGACGTACTAATAGCCACAAAGAATTGCTTAGTGACAGAAATAATAAATTAAGGAATTGCCGTACTAATAGCCGCAAAGAACTGCTAAGCAGAATAATTAATAAATTAATGAAAGGCCGTAGTAATAGCCACACAAAAACTGGGCAAACTCGGACACGTCACCTGAAAGGTACATATCGGTATATCGCGACAGTGCTGTTATCATATGCAAAGTAGTTACAACCATAATAAACAAAAAAATTGGTTGAACAAAGGAATAGTAAATCAAACTCTGACCACAGTAAGGCCAAATTAAACAAAGTCGGATGCGCCGACCGAAAGGGGTAAATATCGCAACTATGCTGAAAACAGCACAATTCTTCTTTTTCTTCTTCTTCTGCCTTTCTAGCTCCCAATGGAGCATAGGCCCTAAACCAACTCAAGCCAAGTCGTTCTATCCTTCGCTATTACATGGAACTCTCCCTATGTCCTCTCTATCTTTCTAACTTCATTCGCCAGCTTTCTTCTCCATGTGTTTTTAGGCCTTCCTTTATTCCTATGCCCATGTGGGTTCAAAGACATTCTAGTTATTTTTTAAATCCAGTTTTCTCAATGCGTGTCCTAGCCAACGCCAGCGTCTTCTCTTCACCCTGTCCACTAGAGCTTGCTTAGTTCTCCCCCAAAACTCTACATTAGTGATAGTTTCTACCCCACTAGGACATCACACAAGCGATAAACACCTGATGACACAATGTGGCTACCATGTGGATGAGGATCACCGTGGAGAGGTGCCAGAAACCGCGTTCAGCCAAATAGCTATATTTATGGCCAAGAAGGAGATCTATATATATATATTTTCCTGTCGCGGGAAGAAAAGGTAAAGGTGCTTTCTTTTAAGCTTATCACAAATGACGTCACGGAACAGTCCAGTATTTTAGATGGTGGTAAAAAAGAGGGTTTTCCTCGTTTGATGTGCTTTAGCGCGTTTCTTTCAAGGCTAAGGTTTTCGCGCGTTTACCTAAGCCTAACCCTAAACAAGACTAGTGAAACCTTTACGCATAATCTACCACCCTCTGAAATATTTGACTGTCCCCTGACCTGTGGATTTCCTCTGTTTGTGGTCAGCTAATAAGAAAGTACCGAGGTTAATACGGACACAGTGTAAAGTACAGGTGGTAATGAAACATATTATATTATATATATATATATATATATATATATATATATATATATATATATATATATATATATATATATATATATATATATATTATATATATATATATATATATATATATATATATATATATATATATATATATATATATATATATATATATATATATGAAAATACACCATTCTTAAGCTCATTTGCACACTGGTTTCGAATGTAGAAATGCCTAACATGTCGGAACCGTGACACCACTACTTACACTACTTGACGCTATATCTACGATCTATTACAGCAACTGGAAATAATTACACACAAGCGTGAACTATGACAGACCTCATAGAGAGATGACGACTTAAATAGTTCCTTTCCCAGTGTGTCAACTAGCTTCTGCTGCCGCGTATTTAAACACCTCTGCTCGACACACGCAATTAGAAATAAGAACAGGGGAGACAAACAGACCCTTATTCGGCAGTGCTGCGTTGGTGGGAACGGGCGACGCGAGCGAGGACAAAGTTGTTTTGCTGTGGTGGTTGTAGAAGAAATGTCAGGATTGTGCAATATTTGTGGCGCGGGCTTTTGTGAGTGTACACAAGATACGAATCTTGCGGTTTCTGCTAGTTTTTTTTTTTTTTTAACTTTCATTACCACCTGTACTTTACACTGTGTCCGTATTAACCTCGGTACTTTCTTATTAGCTGACCACAAACAGGGGAAATCCACAGGTCAGGGGACAGTCAAAGATTTCAGAGGGTGGTA